TGAGCATGGGGTCTACTACATGATTGACGTGAATAATAGTAGAAAGACCTTCTGAGCTCACACAGCTCTCTTTATTAAGTGCTTCTAATTATGAATTTGAGTGTTCTAGAAAATCCCACTGGGAAAAGAGTAAGGACTTCAGTTCTGAGTTTTAATCCGGCTTAGTACCTTACAATTTATCCTTTTGACCTTCCCTACTAGATCATAAACACTATAAAGGCAAAGAAAATCATTATTTTGTTCACCAGTGTGTAGACAGCCCCTCATATACTACTCAGTATTTAATAGAAGCTAAACAAATATGAATGAATGAATGAATATGTGATTTGTGACCTTAACTTTGTGATCCCAAGTGGTCCTCATCTGTGAAAAGGGAATTTTTGATTGTACCTATTTTGTTGGATTATCAGAGGGCTTAAATGTAATAATCTAGATAAAATATTTAGCACATAGTGAGACTGCACTAGGTGTTTGTTATTGGCATTATTGGTCAATTYGCGAATTGTATAATGTAGGGTGAGACCAGAGGAAAGGCAACAATAAAGGACCATCAAATTTCTGTTTGTTACAAATTTAAAAGAAATGAAGGCAATCTTAAGAGGGACCGTTGGCATATCACTTTGCCCAGTATGCTGTGGTTTCGTGAAAGGGAAAAAATGGGTTGCTTTATTAGAAACCGTTAGAATGGCAAGCATGTCCTTCGCATTTCCGCAGGTGCTTTTACGCTGAAGCTCCTTTTCCAGGACTCTCATTAGAACCATAGAGAATGAATCCTAGAAGGGTAGTTCTTTGTTAATAGTTAGAAGGTGCCTGCAGCCTCCCCGCCCCTCCCTGAGTGGCCCCCATCTCATTAGGGAATCTCAGAGGGTTTAATAAACAGAAGAGATGCCTGGGAACCATGGGCTCAGAGCGGGAGGTGGTTAGTATTCAGTGTGTCCAATAGTGTCCTGACTGCTAGAAGCCTTAAGGAGTCATTAACATTTCATGAAAATCCAGGTAGCATTCCATTTAGAACTAAAAGACAATTTTGACCTGAGACTCTAAATGAATGAAATAAGAAAACAAAAAAAAATAAATAAATAAATAAAGGAAATAGCACCTGTGGTGAAAAAAAAAGGAATTTCTATAAACTTAATAAATATCCTTTTCTTAAAAGTGTATTTATTAGACCATCTGGGATACAAAATGAGTTGGTACATTTTCAGAGTCCAAATTTTATAGATTAAGATTAAAAATAAGAAGCTGGATTCTACCCAGACCAACCTACTCCTTGAAAGTCAGGCACTTTGGGAAGTACACAAATTCTTCTGAATTCTGGAACTCTGTGCAGTCCAGGGAATCCTGATTCTTTTCTGGGGGTGGTGAACGGTGTGTTCTCTCTTGAACCTGGGTTATGGGAAGGAAGTTGCTACATGTGGGACCCAGCAAGTGTTTAGGGCACATTGACCAGATCAATTGATATCCCTGGTCCCACAGAGAATCCTGCACACCCTATAAGGAAAACAAGAGTTCATGTTTAATTATATCTGGATAGAGTTTTGAAGCATTTAATGTACGTATAAATGATATGGTAGCCTTTGGGTTGTGACTAGGCAGATTGTGTAGCCAGATGATGCTTGGATCACTTTGCTTATGAATGACTATTATATCACGGTACCATTTTGRAAAGCATCCCAAAGGAAGAGGAGTAAATGACAGCATTACTCACAATTTCAATACACTCATGTAAACTATCAAGAACTTATTATCGTAAGATGCAGATTTGAGTTGTTTATAACCTGAATTCCTTGGTCATATCACTTACRGTCTCTCATCCCCAGTTTTCTCATCTGTGAAATGAAAATAACAGTATTGTCTGCTGCTCCAAAGTGGGAATCAAAGTGGGCATGAATGTGCAAATGTGGTGGAAAGAATACAGTGCTTTGTGGATGCTTGGCTTGCCCCTGTCAAGCTGGCTGGACACCAACTCTTGTGGAGTGTGGAACTTCACATTAGAGATAGTTTGGCCATCATGGAAATGGTGGATTTTCCAATTAACACTAACAGCATCCTCCATTTCATAATGTCTCCACCTTTTTTTTTTTTTCACAAGAAGGGAAGAATTGCCATTCTCATTATTGTGAACATATCTAGTTCACTTTGGAGTGACCAAAGATCAGAGTTGATTCTTCTTAGGCTGATAGAAATGGAATAACAGAGATCTTTCTTTTTTTAAAAAAAAAATCTGTTTTATTTTGGAGATTATAAGCAGCTAGGTTTTATGTTGCCACTGGCTGTTACTCTGAGCCAGAGTAATAGCTAGGGAGTGACAGAGTGCATCATGCATTTATCATTCTGTAGCAGAATACACAGACTTAAAAAGTTTAATTAGTTTGTGACTAAAGGCAGGCTTCAGAAATGGTTTTTCAGATTATTATGCTGATATTTTCCCCAGAAGATTATTATGCATAATTAGGTATTTAATGTTTTTTTGTTAGTGATGTCTTAAAAAGTGTAAGGAGGTTGGCTCACCTGTCTCTGGTACATCCATAAAATGGAATATGATTGTAGCAATAAAAAGGTGCAACCCGAATGAATTGCAAAAGCGGTTAGGCTATAAGAGAAGTCTTACACAAAATCACATTAACTATATGATTCTCTTTATTATATTTTATAATTAGGCAAAACTGATCTGTGGTTAAAAAAAGTTAGAAACCACAAAAATGGTTGCCTCTATGACTGAAAAGGGAGTAGAGAGAGGTAGGAAGCATTTGGAGGTGAAGTGTACCGAGGACAGCAGTCTATTTTGAATTGCAATAACTACAACAAAAATTGGAAGATAGATACACAATAAGGCAGAATTAATAAAAAGTCAATCATAAAATATAGCTGGTTTTATATAAAATATAATTGGTTTCCCAATTTTTTCAACTTTCCTGTAGGTTTGAAATTTTTATATCAATATATTTTTAAAAATATAATTTCAGAAAAAAATTATWAATATAAAAAAGCACCATGGGAATCTGGTTAATGTTTTTGGTGATGCGATATTCTTATAAGCATGAAATATCCTTAGAGACATTAAGTTACTTGTCAAAGGTAAATKAGAATTTATTACATTGCAGTTTCTCAAAAAGCTGGATAAAAGAGACACTTGAMATCATAAACACATAAAAGTTTCTGAGTTTGCAATGTGTCACATGAATTGCTACCAAATTAAATTTATAATTAAATACTACTGAGTACCATGTTGTTGACTATGCATCGTTTCATTTTTATTATTTCTTTTGTTAATCTCCATGAATTCTCCTTCAGAAATGATAGGTTTTAAAACACAAAAAGGAATAAGCAGGTAACAGAATTCAATTAAGAAGAATATACCACAATGAATCCAACTATTATGTATAATTGTAATGCGTTGATGCAAAATATGGGGGAAAAAGGAGAAAATGTACATTTTGTGAAATAAGTTAACTGATAATATAAAGCACTRTTGAAAACCTTGACCTTGGGGTGCAAATAATACCACCTTGACTTTCATCCCATGAGAATTATCAGAATTCAGAAAGACTGAATTTAAAATGAACATGACAAATTAGAGCATTGTATTTTTTCAAAAGGACAGAATTCAGTAGGACGTATACAATAGTATTCTCGGAAGAACCAAGAACCAGTAATAAAAGTGCATAATGGGAAAGGACCAATTATAATCAATGTCACTAAAGTCAGCTCTAGCAGAAGACCTACTGTCTGTTCTCCCATGGTGTATCCAGCTTGCATACATAATTTTTTAAGTAACATGGAGAAATAAGTCAGGGTTTAAAGAGGAACAAGGTGACTAAGATAATGGAAAACTACCCTTATTAGGAAAAATCTGAGAGAAGAGGAAATTCTGTCAAGATTGAAAGGTCAATCAAATGTTTGATTACTGTTTTTTAGTTACATGGTGTTCCTATGAGAAGGCTCTATGAAATAAACTATCAGAGAAAAGGGATTTAAGATCTGGTTTAGTTTTGCAAATGGAAAAATCCCCAGACTTTGAGGTTGATTAAACCCTGGAATAATTTATCAAGAGATGTTTTGGAATCTATGTCCCTGGAGAATTAAAAAATTAGACAAAATATAAATCCTGAGCAATTTGACATTCACCTGCTACAGGGTGAGGGCTAACTCAGATGATCCCTGAAAGTACCTTGCTGGATCTGCATTCTAAAAATAATGTTTCGTTCTACAGTAATAATTTTGAAGTACAGCTTGATATTAAYTAACAGTTTCTGGGCTTCCTGTAAGGAATTATAAGTTTACATTCACTTCACTTAAAGATCAGTATATTTAATGGCTTTTCTTTACCTTRGCTGTGTCTCCTACAAATTGATTGTATGTTGTTCCAGTGATGGTAATACTGTTCTTAGTTTCTGTATTTTTATAATTATTGTAAAATAATTATACAGTCTTCCCCCTTTATCCTCAAGGGACACACAAAGCCCCTAGTGGATGACTCAAAACTCTATCTTACCTTGCTTTTCTTATTCATGCACACCTAAGATAAAGGTTAATTTATGAATTAGGAAGAGTAAGAGATTAATAACAATAACTAATAATAAAAAGAACAATTATAACAATGGACTATAATGAAAGTTATATGAATAAGGTCCCTCTCCTTTGAAAGAGTCAAGACAAATATTAATATTCTTGGATTGCAAYTGACATGGGGCAACTGAAACTGTGGATGAAGGAGAGTGCTCTCGTGGATTCWTTCATTTTTTTTCTTTCTAATATTATAATAACATCATTACAGGATGTTTTCATATTTACAAATGTTATTCTCATGAGTATTTTATGTTGGTGAGAAGACCCCCTACTGGGTCTGATTCAGCATGCTCCCTGCCATTTTTACCCTGTCTTTTGGTGGCTTTGGAAAGTCAGCCCGTGGAGCTCCTCTCTCGCCTTCTCCATTGTGATCTCTATTTTTGGTTTCCTAGTCTCATTCCTCAGCTCACTTTCATTCTTACCCATTGCAGAGCAAAACTTACTTCCTGTTGTGATGCTATTCAAAACTTCGTGGTTTCTCAAAATAACACTCCTGTTGGAACTAACATGAGCTACGAGGTGGAAAGTAAAAGAACAATCCCGATCGGAGAGAACATTTTTCATATGCTTCCTGCGGTGAGTAAAGATTTGTGGTGGATAAATTTTCTCTCACTTCAAATTGTAACTTACAGTAATGAATGAATGGATGGATGATTAAAATACTACCATTTTCTGTTATGTTGTATAAAATATGTATAGTGAAACCTTTTTAAATGGCATTTTTTTTATGCTGCTGGGGATTAATCCAGGGGCTTCACGTATTCTAGGCAAGTGGTGCACACTGAGCTGCATCCCTATCCACAGAAAGGCAATTCTGAATGTGGTGTGGCTCTGAAGGGAAGGACATTTGTCATTTATATCTACTGACTCCTCCTGTCTCTCAATGAGATGAGGCACTTGGGCTTTCTTCATTATAATTATTGTAATTACTGAGGCTTGTGCAGATAACATTTCTTTTTTAAATACTGGAATAAGATGCTTCTAGTTGTCAACTTTGGTGACTACATCAATTCATTCACGAAGAAACTGTAGGTTGATGTGACTTATCTTTGGGAAGTAAATATATAAGAATTTTTGGAAAATAAACAAACATTCATAATATAGAGATTATTGTCTGCCCTGTGTAGCCAAAGCTCCTAGAACATTCCCCACTACATATACTTGTTACGAAAACAAATCAGTAATGATATGGTTTTCTACTGCTGGACACAAATGTGGAAAAACTTATCACTAAATACAAACCCAAATTTGGGGAAATTTTTGTCATGAAAATCTGGTTGTGTATGAACATATACTCTCAGGCATCTTTTCATGATCCATATAAAAGTTACGAGGCCAAATCAACATGGTCCAATATGGAATCACAGTTTGCCAACCTTGGGATATTAGAGTCTTATAATTAATTCTCTTCTGTTGGACTTTTGACTTCTTTAAACTAACTTATTGCTGCTCATGTAAATTGCTTTGATTTTTTTTGTATGACAATTCAGAGAAAGGATAATTTCCTAAGAATGAATGAGAAATAAATAGAAAATGATGAAGGAAAAAAATACCACAAGCTTTGTGGAAAAGAAGGAGGACAAAAACTAACTCATAAAGAAATAGTTGGCAGTAGAGAAAATTTTTATGAAGATAAAATATAGTCTTTTGAAATCAACAAAATTAATGTAATTCATGGTCTGTAGTTGTACAGACCTTGTTTCTTCAAGAAGGAAACTCATAAAGCTTTCTCGTGGTGCAATGAAATGGCCTATAATTTAAAATTTAATAACAAAAGAATATTTCTGTTCCTTATTAGGAAGGCCTTGGAGAGGACTTCAGTGGGCAACTCTTTACTCATGCAACTTCTGCTGGTGTTTATCTTGCTTTCAGCTGACCAGCAAGAAGCACAAGATCTTCTGCCTCTCACTTGGCATCTTTTTTTTTTTAATAATTTTTTTTTTATTTTTAGGTAGACACAATATCTTTATTTTTTATTTTATGTGGTGCTGAGGATCTAACCCAGTGCCTCACACATGCTAGGCGAGCACTCTACCTCTGAGCCACAACCCCAGCTGCAGAGTGATTTCTGAACACAGTCATCCTTTGGTGTCAATGGGGATTAAGTCCCCTTCAGATCTGAAATCTGAGGGTGCTCAGATCCCCTATTTTTTTGTGTGTGTGGTGCTGGGGATTGAACCCAGGRCCTTGTGCATGTGAGGCAAGCACTCTACCAACTGAACTACATCCCAGCCCCTCACTTGGCATCTTAAAAGAAAAAGCATAAGGTTGATATTCTGCATGTGATGAACAACTGCATCCATTTTCCCAGTTTGGACTAGTGGGGGAAATGAAATTCTGGAACCAGTGCAACCCCTTGTTACTTCAACTTTCAACTTCTTTGGATGGGACTCATGGTGTAATTGACCACTTTCCTACCTTGCTGCCTGCTTGTCCACCCTATTCTACTCTGCCCCTCCACAACCCACAACCCAGTAGAATGGCTGGGCACACAGCAGATGGCAAGGAATGCTTTTGATTAAATGGTGCAAAGTCACTTTCTCCAAAAACTTGGTAAAGTTACAGAGTGAGCAATGAGCAGGCTGTTGAGCCATGCAAATTTGCATTTTCTTAGGAGGTTTATTTTAGGGTTTGTAATTTATTTCATCTCCTACTGAACATGAGATCCCAAAACATATGGGTGTTTCCCCCCAGTTGACCAAGAAACCATAGAACACAGTCGTTATTTTGAGTGCTTAATTTGAGATATATATCCCTCAGTAATCTTTTCTATTGTACCATAAAAAGCAGMTTTGCATTTTTGTGTTCTACCCTATCTATAAAATTCAGAATTTATTGTGGTACCATTGAGTGAACACTGTCTGAAGACATCCTGAGCTGAAAGTTCAGTGACATAAAGTAGCCTGAGGTATCAGAGAACCATTCATTTAAAAGGCAGGAGCTTTGGTAGGCATTGTGGATATAAATAGGAATAAGTCACACAGTTATATTAACCCTGTACTCACTGACTAGTAAGAAACTGCACCAGCAGGTTCTCCAGAGCAGACTCCCTGGATTCATACAGGGAGTGTTATGCTTCTCTGTAGCTGTTTCTTAAATTCATACCTCTGTTTTCCCATCTGTGAAGTGCTCATGAGATGGTTGTGTGGATTGAATGTGCTCATAAGTTATACACTTGGAATGGTGCCTTTCATGCAGTTAAGTTTAATTTAAATTTTACAAACAAACTTACAGATAGAGAAGTACTGGATCAAAATTCTCTTGGCTGGTTGGGCACTTCCCAGATGCAGCATCGGGAGCAGGTGGTAGCTAGTGACTTGGGTCTCTGCCAGCACTCTGCGCTGCCCAGAACCACATCAGCCCTGGGCTGTGGACAGTGGTGTTGGTGAAATGGCTTGGAGGAGGGGTTTTGTCTTAGATTTTATAGCCTTTGCCATTTTCAATGGTTTCAACATCAACATCATGGCTGATTTCAAGGTTTAGCTGGGAACTCGTGGAGTTCTTGAATATTGCTCAGTTGGCTCCTATAATCGGAATGAGGCAGCTCCAGCACACCGCTGGGTCTGCCCTGGGGAAACATAAGTATGTACTCACTGTGTACATTGTGCAAGACTAGATATGGAGGGAAAACTGAAGGGAAATGAAGAGCTAAGGAACACCCTCTCTGCCCTTGAAGACTTACATTCTAATATTAGAGACAAAGTAGAAGGACCAGGACGTTGTCACTGTGGGGTATGAGCTGACACTCTTGCTGCAGGCTCAAGTACACATTATTACTTTAAGGGAGTGACCAGAAAAGGTGAAGTGCACTGTTGAATTGAAAAGTTATATTTCATACTGTGGAGGACTCTGGGAAAATGGGAAACCTTGTGGGATAAGCGGGGTAGATTCTGGGAGGAAATGAAAAATACTCAGGCCTCGGAAATTGATGTGAAGTATGTCAGCCCAGAGTTAGTAGGTCCCCCTGAAGCACCCGGCTGGTCATTTGCAGAACCAGCAAGCATAAATCTAAACCATTACTGAGCCTGAAGCTCTATTTAAGATGCACAGGAAACTATTGCTAAATTACCTATTAATTTTATGCCTTAGAATAAAAGATTTAATGCTACTTTCTAACTTCTTTATATTTTCCTTTTTTGTGTGCTAAAATGTCCATTTGGTTGGAAAGATATGAAATTTTGCCATTCCATTCTATTACTTACGTGATGTACGCTATATATTATATTTCGTATGCAAATATATTATGCTTTGTGCTCTTGCACTTTATTGTATATTTTGTGGTGCCTTTTCCTCTTAAGAGAAATCAAACAGGTTTATGTAATGATATTTTATTAGAAGCCATAATAAGTTGATCAGTTTGCTATGTTTTTTTTTTTCCTTCTGCTTAGCATATATGAAGAGTTAAGTTACTGGAATTAAGCTGATGGTGTTTGTGGCTCTGAAATGAATGGTATTTCATGCTAGTTTTCCACTCTTTTCTTCTAGTCCCAGCCCTTTGTGGAGTATCCTTATAACCAGTGTGCCGTGGTTGGAAATGGGGGGATTCTGAATAATTCTCTCTGCGGAGCTGAAATAGATAAATTCGACTTTGTTTTTAGGTAAGACTTGTCAATAGTTTCTTGGAAACCCAAGATCATTTGGATAAAGGGGGTAATGAAAATATAACTGTATCAATTTTGACTTTTGAGTTGTTGTGCATGCTAAAATCCACAGGTGGGCTTTCCTGAATTGTTACATGGCTCATGAGGTCCTCAGAAGGTTCATACCAGAAAGATGAAAACGTGCCATCTTCATCTACTGTTGATAGAAAGAAATCATAGGGAAAGAGGGTTTGGGATTACAGGACTTATCAGGGCCTTTACAGTTAAATGGATAGCATTGCTCCCTGGGAAGGACTCCAGGGAGGAGTAATTCCCAGTCTCATCTGACCTTGAAGACCTTTTTTTTTTTTTCTTACAGAGAATGTCACAGAAGTTTTGTTCTCCAGTAGCTAAGTAAAATGCTGATCTTGACACTTTAAGCCATGAACATCACTGTTTAGTTTTCTCTCTTGAAATTGAAAAATATATATATTTTTTGCAGGTTCCCTCAATTCTGGTTTTAAATCATTTCTATCTTGATATTACCTAGTTTACAAAAATAGAAACAAAAACAGTTTCTATGTGTGCCTCATACTAATAAGACATGCTACAAAACATTTCCACTCTCAAAGTATGACAGAGAGGTGATTCATCCATCTGAGGATGGTTTTCAATTGAAATGCACCTTTTTAAAGAGTTGGTAGAAACCTGTTTATTTCAGTTTTACGAGTATTGATTTTATATATCAGAGGTCTTTTGATCCCTCGTGCTTTAACATTACCCCTTTTATCAGTTGAAAACAAGATTATGATTTTTCAATAAATAGCTCCTCCTCACTTGAATCTCATTTTAAAATTTTACGTTGAAGAAAATGACAGACCAACAATTATTGAATGTGTTCTTCATGGTCAATGTTAAGTTAGCCATTTCAGTCAAATTCCCAGTGTGGAAAAACCCATAATGAAGATAAATAACTCTTCTTGCAATAGACTTTTTACAGACTTAAAATTCCCCAAACATCTGTGTTGAATATTATGTCTAAACATTGATTTTACTTTATAGCAAGTATAGGAAATACAAATTTGGGTTCAAAACACAAACAAACAAAACAGTCTCAGCAGCTATTTCATTTATAACTCCAAAATAAATGCCTTTGCTTTTGGATTTTACTTTTGCTGATGCCAGATGTTTTTTCTGAACATAGAGTTCCTTTTGAAGTTGGGCACTCAAACTGAAAGCCAAAATGAGAATTAGGTGTGATCGATGTCATTAGAATTTATTTAATTTTTTAAGATAGTAATTATTTTGCCTATGCATGTTGATAGTTTATAAGACAATTTGAAAGCTGCTTAGTTTTCTTCCATTTCAAAAAAATTTGGAGCTACAACTTAAATGTGTAAGGAATGAAAATTAGTCAATAACTATACTATTCCTATGCTACAACCATACTATTGTGACTGTGTATCTATATGATATGTAATATGTATATTTCCCCTAGGAGTTTCCTGTGGTACTATCTTGGAGATCATTTTTGATTCTTCAAAAGAATGGGACTGTGGGTTGATACCGGAGGCCCACTAATAAGGTCATTGCTATGGCCTCCTATCAATACTTGACATTGACTTCCCCAAGGCGCCATATTTATTTTCTGGTGTATCTTTTGTATCAAAGAGGAAAGTGCTTGTTTCATTTTTCCCTGTGTTTCATATGGCATGGAACAGAACATTTCAGCCTCAGTCACATTATTTTAGCCTTCCTTAGGAAGCACTTGGTGCTCTCTTTTTCTGCTTAGCTTTAAAGAGATGAGCCACTTCAAATTTCAAATATATTTAGAGAGTCAGAACCATCTTCCTCCTTTTCTTGTTATTAAAATATACTCTAAATTAGAATTCTTCCCAGGGTTTTCAATGTAAAAACAAATTAGTGCTCAAAGGAAGATGAGAAAATCAGTATGTCATTGTCACTATGAGAACATTAAGGCTTTATTTATTAATGCCATAATTTGGTGCAAAACTATCCATATGGAAATTGGGAGATTTTGATGTTTTTATATAGTCTTTTTTTTCTGGAAGATGCTTTCATCTTGATTGCAGCACCTTAAATTTTATTTTTAAGTCTGTAAATTAGTTATCATACCACTGTGGAAATATAATCAATATAAGTGATGATTTTAATAAAAGGATTAAAGTCCCTTCAAAAGCTAGGCAAGATGTAGTTGTCATTTCTGGTTTTGATACTCATAAAATGTACTGAAAATATTGAAAGTACTTATCAAATTTGTATATTTTATATACATTGAAATGTCAGCTACGAGTTAAGTACTTATTAAATAGTTTTAAATGGAGATCAAATGGATTCTGAGGTTCTTTTTTAAGAGCAATGATTTTCTCTGACATAGGAACATTTATCCTAGGTTTGGATATATATATGTATATACTTGTTTCTTACAAGTTATATTTTGAAAATAGTTTTTCTTAAATATTTCAGGTGTAACATCCCTCCAACCAACGGAAATGTTAGTAAAGATGTTGGCAGTAAAACCAATCTTGTGACTATAAATCCCAGTATAATAATGCTAAAGTAAGTATCTCCAAGTTACATAACTGTTCAAGAATACTTTTTCATTGTTTAACATGTTTCTTAGTCTAAGTGCTAATCTCTTTGCTAAGGATGACTTGCAATACAGCTGGAATGGTTTTGGGGGAAAATACAAAAGAATACATTAGCAAATTTTGACATCCTACAGAGGTTTTGGTTCATCAAAGGTATGACTCAGTTGTGCGCCTAATGTCATAAGCTAGATGTTTCTGATCAAACGAGAACTTATTTATCTCTTCATCCTTTTTCAATACTAGTGAAGTTAATTTATTCCATGTTCTTTCAGAGTTTTAGCATTACTCTTTTATTTTCGTGGCACTTTCTTCATAAGATTTATTGTATTTAGACATTTGGGGGTAAGCCTTAGGACAGCCTGGCAAAATACAGTTTTCACATTGAATAGTTTATCTTGACAAAATAATTCCTGTGATTGKCGAGGATGTGGGGAAAAAGGCACACTCACATTGCTGGTGGGACTGCAAATTGGTGCAGCCAATATGGAAAGCAGTATGGAGATTCCTTGGAAAATTGGGAATGGAACCACCATTTGACCCAGCTGTCCCTCTCCTCAGTCTATACCCAAAGGACTTAAAAACAGCATACTACAGGGACACAGCCACATCAGTGTTTATAGCAGCACAATTCACAATAGCTAAACTGTGGAACCAACCTAGATGGCCTTCAATAGGTGAATGGATAAAAAAAAATGTGGCATATATACACAATGGGATATTACTCAGCATAAAAGAGAATAAAATCATGGCATTTGCAGGTAAATGGATGGAGTTAGAGAAGATAATGCTAAGTGAAGTTAGCCAATCCCAATAAACCAAATGCCCAATGTTTTCTTTGATATAAGGAGGCTGATTCATAATGGGATAGAGAGAGGGAGCATGGGAGGAATAGACAAACTCTAGATAGGGCAGAGGTGTTGGAGGGGAAGAGAGGGGGCATGGGGTAATTAATGATGGTGGAATGTGATGATTATTACTATCCAAAGTACATGTATGAAGACACAAATTGGTGTGAATATACTTTGTGAATATACCAGAGATATGAAAAACTGTGCTCTATATATGTAATAAGAATTGTAATGCATTCTTCTGTCATATATAAATTTAAAAAATTACATAAAAATAATTCCTGTGTTTCATATCTGCAGTGTGGCTGCTGCAAAATGTTGATTGTCTCATAAAAATCCCAACCATATGTTTACTCTATTGTTTTCATCAAAAGTGACTGATGAGCATTATTAATAGAATATGCCCCTCCAAACAATTCCAGAATCTCTTGAGAGAAAACTATATTGTACCTGCCTTCCAAAAGCTTACTTTAGTAAATACTCAAAAATCATTTTCACTGCAACACTTACTAAGGTATCCTCTAAATTATGTATAATAGTGATAGCATAATGCATACAGAAAATTTTAACCTAATATAAATGGCTACTTATATTTGCCCATATGTGTTTCAGGTTTCCTAAAGGAAATTTCTATTTTATAATTAAATATTTACAATAAATGCACAAATTACAAATGTATAGCTCAATAAATTTTTCAAATGCTTGAAAAAATGTGGTTGTACATTTGCAAGATGTTAAAGCATCAGAAAGCAATGTTAGAAATAAGATGACTGAGGAGGAATATTAAATAATACAAGAAATATCTATCCAGTAGGGGATGGTCCAGTAAGAAAGTAGAACTTGAAAACCTAGATATTCCAAGGGAGATATAACTCTTGATATCTTCATAATGCTTGCATGATTTTTCAGAGTTCATAGTTTAGCTCTTTTATACATGGGATAATAAATGGTTCTGTTTTTTGACTACCGGTAAACTCATCCTCTAGTTAACTCTGGTTATTATTACTTTGACAACTATGATTTTTAAAAAATTTGGCAGATACCAGAACTTAAAGAAGAAAGCAGAATTTCTGCAGGATATTGCAACCTACGGAGATGCGTTCCTTCTTCTGCCAGCCTTTTCCTACAGGGCAAACACTGGCCCCTCCCTAAAAGTGTATCACACACTCAGAGAGTCCAAAGCAAGACAGAAGGCTCTCTTTTTCCATCCCAAGTACCTGAAACAGCTTGGCCTTTTCTGGAGAACTAAAGGTGTGGATGCATACCGCTTGTCCACTGGCTTGATGATCGCAAGTGTTGCTGTGGAAATGTGTGAAAATGTGAAGTTGTATGGGTTTTGGCCCTTCTCTAAGACTGTGGAGAACACACCTGTCAGCCATCACTACTATGACAATCAGTTGCCTAAGCKCGGTTTCCATAAGATGCCCAAAGAATATAGCCATTTCCTCCACCTTCACATGAAAGGCATCATCAAACTACAATTTGGCAAATGTGAAACTTAGCTTAAACAAAGTTTCTTAAAATGAGAATAATTCTTATGTAATGCAGTAGGTGAGTAACTGTTTCCAAATGCGAAAGGAGGCCGATATCCTTCCTATCCTAGGAAGATCTCCAAAACCTGGATTAACCAAAGCTCCCCCACTAACTTTGCAACCTCCACAAGTCATTCAAGCATTCCCATCTTAAATTTCCTTCCCTATTAATTAGGAGTCATGGTATATGGCTCATGCAAGTGAATCGGGTGAATCTGCAAAAATTCTCGGCAGGGCAAATTGGTGTGAGGTAGGGACTCTAGGACTATTTTCTTGTTTGTATTTACTGTACATTTCTCCCCTCACCAGACTGATTATGAAAGGTATGTTCTCTTGGAGGTCCTTTCTGAAAAGAACAGCCGAATTGCCAGTATCCATTGGGTTTCTCTTTCTTAATAATAGACTTCTCTTTATTAATAACATCCTTCCCATTTTTCTTTCTGTCTTCAAGCGTGCATGCAACACAATTATGTAGTTAAGCAAGAAATCATTCATTAATCAGGAATGAAATTCTTTTCTTTGAATGGCCAGCAGTATGCCTGCTTATGATTAAATTCACCTGTGATATCACCAGTGCTGGTGGGGTTGGATTTGGGCCTTTTCTTTTCCTCCTTTATCTACATGTTTAATCACTGTTTGTGATTTTATATTAATATCCTGCTTCACTCTTAAGCCTTTTTCTCTTCCACTACAAGATCTATTTCAAGGACACGAATAGTCAAAATACCCAGTCTTTCTTACCCGTTGTCTGTGGGGGTCACTCAATTTGAAGAAAATATTAAACAGCTGTTTCATGCCAGGCCCTGTACCAGGATCTGTGGGAGGGATATAAAGATGTCTGCCCTAGTAGGAGGAAGCAGATGTGTGTATCAACTGACCTGATACAATAAATGTTATATCAACAGTTATAAGTAAAGTGCTAGAAGGATCATAGTCAGGAATAATTAAATCTATTTCAGTAGAATCTATTTCAGAGATGAGTTGATTTCAGAATTAAAAGTAAAAATGAATAAGTTTTTACCAAATGAAGAAGATTCTAGGTAGAGGGAATATGAGATGATGAGACTATTTGAATGTAAATCATAGTTTTTGCCTCCCCCAAAAATGCCAAATGAGGAGAAGGCACAGTGCAGGAGGGGGATGGCTTGGGCCCACATCTGTAAAATGAAAATAAGTCAGACCTGACCAATTTCACAGGAATGCATAAGGATTACAACACCCAAAACTTGTAATGCTCACATGGAAAGATGTTATACCTACATAAGAAATGAGGCTAATAGTTTAGCCATTGATAAAAAAATAAAGCTTAAGTGGATATCGCATATTTGCATTTTCACACCATTCCATTATGAGGATTTCTGCTAAGCTAAGTCATCCCTACATCCACTGAATAAGTTATTTGACTTACTAAGGAATCACAAGCGCACACTCCTGCTCATCATTGTACCTTCTGCAAGAAGACTRGAAATAAGCCAGGTCAGAATGACAAAATAATTATAATCTATGAATTATTAAATGAACCAGATTATTGTTTGGTTAAATGCCTACTTTTAAGAACACTGTGCTGTATCTTTATACTTGACGGTTTGGGTTATTTTGAGTTCATATTTAAATTCGTCCCTCTATAGTAAATGAAATTTGTTACCTTTATAAAACTGATGAAAATTTCATATATAAATATTTTTCAAATGGAAAATGCTTTTTGTTATGTAAATCCTAACTTATTTTTGTTTCTTTCCTTTTGTGGTGATCATGTGGCTTTTTTTTCTATTTTTCCTAATAGATTTAATTAACAGGTTTTAAGTAACCTGTTTGCGGCGTCAGTAAAGATTCAATCATGCTACTAGCAATGGATTCAGAATAGATCAGAACACTCTAGTATTTTACAGTTAGTAAAATGTTTTTCTCAGAATATTTTATGGCAAGTAGAAATAAACTATTTTTGATGATATTGGAAATACATAATGGCTGAGTAAAAAGAATATATTGAAGTAAATCATTAAATACACAATGTGGGATCTTTACATATTACTTAATRAAAAAATTACATACAATTTGGACATGTAGTGCCTACTTAAGTTCTTCACATATAATATGCTATTTTAACTTAGGAAATTTTCTCTAGAATGTCAAAATGGAATTTCCAATRTCACTGATATGGATTTTGGAAATGTTCAAAATATTATGAGATCAAGGAACATAATGATAACCATGTGCCATGTCCTAGGAAAAGTTCAGTAGGAAAAAAGTGTAGATTTTTGTGTGTGTGTGGAGAAAATGTAGATCTTTCCCCACTCACTTATCAGAAGTTTATTTCTTTTTTAACTTTTGTGTTACTGTCCTAAAAGCATGTTTGAAATTTTACCACTTTGTTTAGATCACATTAGACAAACATCCTTAGTCAAAAAAAGACATCAGGAGATATCTTGAGATGTAGTGGTCATTAATCTACAAGTCTGCAAGATGGAGTTCATAGGTTTTCTTTTGTTCTGATATCAGTGAAAGCTTGCAGTAATTCACCATTACAGAATCAAAACAGCTGTTACCTGTTCTGCAATTCACATATCTGATGTGTACTCTGTGGTAAAATTCGTGCTCTATCATATTYTGTGTGTTGTGTTATCATGCGCCAACTATATATGCCACAACATATGCATCCTTTATAACTCTTTCCCAAATCTGCAGCTGTGATTTCAACACGGCTCAGTTATTGGCCATTATTTAAAGCTTAGTCTATATATGTTGAAAAGAACTAAAAGCAGGGGAAAGTATATGTGCCTCTTTCACATTATAACGTTTCCTTCCTGGGAGAGCATGTGTTCCATTCTGATGTGCCAATGATGTCCTTTGGTTCCAAAACAGAACATTTTATAGAACTTTCTAAAATATGATAGAACATAAATTTTGGCAAAATAGCATATCAACTATATAAATTGTAAAACAAGTTGCAGTTCTTTCTGTTCCATCATGATACATCTTTGCAAGTTTTCCACCAAGATCAGGACACAAAGAAAAACTGAGAACTCCTTCTTGGAGACCTTACTGCCACCAAGCTTCACTGTAACACTCAAGAAATCTCTGAGTAACAAGCATTGCTAAAGTGTTGTTAGACGGATTTGATTCGATCTTCTGCTCTTAAAGTTCAAGTACATCTTTAGCATCATTGGACAATGTAACCATACAACAAAATTTCAAAGTAGCTTCCAGTCGAACACAAGGGTAAGAAGAAATACTCATTGAAGTACACAGTGCTCTATGGTCTCAGAAAAGCACTCCGTGGACAATTGCATAAGTTTTGCACAGTATAGAAGTCCTTGAAGCCTCCAGTATATTTCCCTCTGGGAAAAAAAAGGCAAAGAAAAATAGACCATGACTTTCATGGAAGAAGATTTCCCTCTGTATGTAAATTCCAACCAGTAAACCTGTGTGCACTCAGGCAGGTAGACAAGGACTTTTTGTTGTTGTTGTTGTTAGGACTTCTATGTATAGAATATTGAATTAAGCCATAAGTCAGAAATATTTTGCCTAGATTTTTTCCTTACTTACAGAAAAATTTCCAGTTAGAAAGTATATCACATCAAGTACCCTAAACAATTCCACAAATTTTAGGAGGCTTTAGGAAAGCTGGAAAACTTTGTGGATAACAGGCCCACACCCTGGACAATTGCATAATTTTTTCACAGTATAGAAGTGCAAATGATGTTGTCAATGATGTCCTTTGGTTCCAAAACCTTTTGGTCCTTTTGGAACCAAAGGACATCATTGGCACATCCTAAATAGCTATTGCTAAAGTATAGTTATGATGTGATGTGTAATGTAATTATGATGCTCACAACATGTTATTTATGTAACATTACATGGAAACTATTAACTGCTACTAAACATTGCAGGAATTTATTTAATATATCTGTTGCACTTAACCTAATAAGACTACTTCTTTCTTTATAGTTGATTCAAAAAAAAATTGTTTGGAACCACTAGGTATGTGTAAGGTTTTTTATTTGTGTGTGGCTTCAGAAGGCTGACCTCACAATTAGCTGTGTCACTGGTCTCCTGAGGGTGGATGGGCAGGGATATTTCTCTTAACCCTCATTATTCTGGGTCATTACCCTGCCAGGAGCATTACTCTTTCATAAAAATAATGTGAGTGATATTTAGTAAAGAGGCAACACTTACATAAAGGAGACAGAACAAACTTTAGCAGATGGTATTGAGACATTGTCCCATCGTATGGAAAAAAATAAATGCCAAAAAGTTGCACTCCAGAAAGATTAAAGTTGGATGAAAAGGCAAAAGCATAAACTATTAGAAGAAAATGTAGGAGGGTTATGCATGAGATATGGGTGAGGAAACGTTTTTCTCAAATAAAATAAAAAAATTTCTAAAGAACTATTCTAGGCTAAGAAATGATGCCTGTGTCTATATTAAAATGAAAGATTTCTAGTCAGTAAATAACACCTTAGAGCTCACAAGCTGACAGACTGGAGTAGTTTTTACAATGCATAAAATTAATGACATTAACAGACATTTCATGGTACTTCAAAAAGTAAAAGACATGAACCCAATATAAAAATGAGCAGGCAATAAGAATGTAATTTACAAAGGGAAAACCTGAGAAGTTAGTAAGAGTAGAAAGTGATGCTCAAACTTAATAGTAATCTGATAAATGCAAATTCAGGTGAGATCCTATATCCATTGTATTGGCAAAAATTAGTAGCATGGTTAATTTCAAGTGCTGGTGGAAGACTAAATTGATTCAACACTTTTGGGGAAAAATCTGGATGTACTGAATAATATGAATCCTGTCTGTCCTATGGTCCAGCTCTCTCACTTTGGATATACATGCGAGGAAACTTTTTGGGCAGGTTCATAGGGAGACAAGTACTAAGATATTCATTTTATTCTTTAAGCAGTCAGTTGGACATAGAAGTGTTCAACTCTTAGGAAACTGATGAGTCAAGTTTGGTGGA